TCTGCTAAGCTTAAGTCACGACTCACTGTCTGACTAGTAAGAAGGTCTTCATACACCGAGTTTGGGGTTGGCCGATGAGTACTAGTAGAACACCATGTCAACCCCATATACGCGGACGACACCTTTGCAGGTATCCGAGATGGAAAATATTATCCCACAATCAGCGCCAATAAGCTCACATGCTTAGCCATGACCTCAAGCTTTCAGCGGGGAGTAACGAGGAAGAATGCCACCCTGAGCCCTGGATCCTGACAATTGACTGGGTCGCTAGGCATCTCGCATAACGACAGCGATTCCGAGTAGTCGAGCTTGCTATCCTGTCCTTGGTCCTCCCGGGATCACTTCCCACCTCGAGAGAATTACCTTCAATGAAATTCTGATTGGCCATCTGGACGACAGACTTGGGCAGCGTCTAACCTTCGGACCCGAATGAAGAACCAAGACGGCTGAACAATCGGCTCCCCGCCGAGCCTACGAGACGGGATATGTGGGGTAGACGGCAAGGGACGGTTTGGGGCCCACATGGCCGGCATCTGGGAGCCGTCACGGCGTGATCCACACTACTCTACAGCTAACGACGTATCGGAGTCTCATCACGCATCTTTTCAGTCTACCGAAGTAGTCTCCAGGACATTCTGCAACTCGGGTTCCGTCGTAGACCGCGCTTTGGACCCAGCATGTTATTTCTAAGTGTAATCCCGTCCTCTACTTGGGAATCTGTGTCCACCCGCGCCCCGGAGCATGCGCCCTACGCCATGGGACAAATGCGAGCGCCAAGAGAAGCGTAGCTGTGGCTCTATGCCTTTTCCCTCCGCTTCTCGATCTTTGCGAGCTCCACATCAATCTTCTTGAAACTCCAGCTCTTCCAGAAGGGAGGATACAAGAAGGGGCGGAGGTCGAATCTATTGTCATCGGGCGCTATAAACCAGTCAGTTAAAGACTATTGGACGTCTCCTGGATCGCAGGGGGAAAAAAGCAAGCGGATGGGTTGGCATACAATAGTCATTGCAGTGAAGAGCCGGCGTAAGCGTCGTCATCTTGTGTCCTGTCTCCATGTTAGACCCGAACGGCAGTCATCTATCTGGCCGCAATCACAAAGTAGAACTCACTATTGATGGCGTAAAAGTGGAAGAACTTCTTCACCTTGTCGGCCGTCTGGCTGGGCTCGTACGCAGGAGCATCGTCGTCGGGTCCGCGCTTGCGGTCTGCGCTCCATTCGTGGACGAGACGTTGGAACATGCCGTACGGCCCCAGCTTGTTCACCTTGCGGAGACGGCCCATGATGGTGAGCTCCTGGTAGGTCATGCCCATGTCTACCTCGTCGCTCTGCACGTAGGTGTCTGAGATGGGTTCCTATGCGTGATCACGTAAGTGGTTTGCCCCGCAAAGTCAAGAATAGATGTATAGCTTGAGTCGCAGCTCTTGCGCGTCAGCGGGGGGTTGAGGGGCGGCGGGTTGACATACAAGCTCTGCGGTCGGGACCGCTGTGAGGAAGTCGTGGAGACATGGGATATTGAAGTCCTTCTCGGCCCATGCAATGAAGCGCTTGAGATCGGCCTTATCGATGGAGCCAATTGGGTTGATATCAGCACCTAATATTCAGTGTCAGCCTGGAATTAAGTCAAGGGAGATTTTCCCCGGTGGCATAGAATCGCCATGCAATCCTTGCCCCCTGCTGGTCCTCGCAGTGATATCAGGGAGTAGGCAGTGGGAACCAATCATTAACGGGTTCTAAAAGATAAGTAGACGACATAGTCCAGACTTCTCTTAAAAGTGATGTGGTATCCCTAGTTCCCGTGGGCAGCGAGAATAGAACGTAGCGGGATTTTTAGCTTACTGGAACAATCGTATCTAGAAGTTAGTCAGTATGTATCATTCTCTCTCGCCAGACGTGGATCACTGACTTGGTAAAGTAGCCTCTGAGGGACTGTAGCAAGTGTCAGCCAACAACAGAACAAACATGGATGTGGGTAGCAGGGTAAAGCAATGCACCTCTCCGACGTTCGCACTGCCCAAGACAAGCAAACCACCACCGCCGGGTCTGCCGCGGGCTGTAGGAAGGAGCTGCCCAAACTCATACGCCGTGACCATGCGGATTCTCGCCTGGATACACTGCAGCGTCAGGTTCTCCTGGTTTGTCCCGCCCTCGACCTTGAACCTCGGCTCAAAGTTGAGCGCCGTGACGGCGAGGCTCTTCTGGGCGTTGTAGACGTCATCAATGTCGAGGTTGATGTGGTAGCTGCCGATAGCCTCGGCGAGGTCCCTGGCACGCTGACGCGTCTCGGCGGAGCTTTGCGTCTTCATGCCCATGTAGATGGTTGAGAAGATTTGGTTGCAGAGGGCCTGGGGCGTCTTGGGGAGCACGCCTTCGCCGTCGTACTTTGCCAGGCGCTTGACGTCCTCGATTACCTGGGCGTTGCCTTCCTCGACGGCCTTCATCACGATGCGACACATGGAGAAGACGATTGCTGCAGAGGGTTGTCAGCGACGATTGGTTTCAACGGTCCCCGGAAGAGAGACGTACTCGCTGTGGCGCAAGAGTCGATTCCTCCACTTAGGGGTACCAAGTAGCCTGCAGTTCCGGACCTGCGGAGATACTAATGGACGGAGTCGAGTCAGCTAGGCATGTTGAAAAGAGGTACTTGGTCCATCTCACATCCCAAAGGTAGCATCCAGCACACAAGGCAATCTCTTCCTCGACAGAATAGAACTTCGGCTTGATAGGGGGCGATGGGGTAATCATGATATCGGCATCTTCGTCCTCAGAGCTGAGCTCGAAAGGAGTCTGGATTCGTTCATATTTGGCATCAGACCGCGCAGCCTGAAGGCCGCGAGAGATGGCAGAACGATACGCGCGAACTTCCTCGAGATCGACGGTGGCGGTGATGACTTCGACGTCGTTCAAACTGAACTGCGATCCCTGGGCCACGACGTCTCCGTTGACTAAGATCATGGCGGAGCCGTCGTAGTACAACCTGTCGCCGTCGCAGCCTTGTTGGTTGGCGTAGAGGTAGATGCCACCGCACTTGCGCGTGGCTTCCATGATGAGCTGGAGACGGGTGTCGAGCTTCTGCAGGGTGAAGTGCGAGCCGCTAGAGTTGGTGATGATCTCCACGCCGTCGAGGCTCATCGCGATGTGCGGGGCGTTGGGCGTGAAGAGCTCTTCCTGTGAGCGGCGCGTGTCAGCTCATCTTTCAAGTTTGCAGAGCCAGCCAGCCAGCCAGCCGCCATGGCATCTGGCGGACTTACACAGGTCTCGGCGCCAAAGCACGTATCCGGGGTCGAAACTACAGCGTCGCCAAAGGTAACGTGGGTTGACCCCTGGATGTCCTGTAGAATACGGGGGAGGTGGTACTCCTCCGTCTGTCGGGGATGCATCCAGGGCGTGAAGTGGCGCATCTCGCGGTAGTTGCCGTCGTTGGCGAGCCACATCTTGGGCCTGATCATGAGGATCTTGCCGTCGAGGCATAGCACTCGGCAGTTGAAGCGCTGGTTGCGGTGCTGCACGGGCATGCCGATGTCGAGGAGGATGCCGTGGCAGGTCTCGTCGAGCAGAATGCGACGGAGCATCTCAAAGCAGTGCAGGTAGAGGTCCTGCTCGAGAAGGTGGTCAAGACATCCGTAACCGCATATCTCTAGTTCCTTTGGTGATGTCAGATTCCCCGCGCATGCTTGCAACCGAGCTCATGCTCATGCTGTATCGCATTTGAAAAAGTTTGGAATACTTACGGGACCAACACGAAGACGAGCTCCGGCTGCCTTGGCCTTCTGAATGCTTTCGACGATTCGAGCAGCATTTCCCTCCCACTACATGCCATCCGGGTTAGCTTCTGCCTCCTACGAATAGTTGAGGGATCGAATAACAGTCAACTACATAAGAGTTATGGAAAGCTCACGTCTAAGGCCCACTGGTTGAGCGAACAAGTCGCAACCGTGACGAGATGTCCCATGTTGACTAGGCCGAGTTATCTGACCCCGGAGATGTGTTAGTCGTCTTGTTAAAGTTGACGAGGGACTTTGTGACGCATCGTATCTTACTTATAAATGCGCCCACACACACTTGGCGGTGGTCAATATAAGATTAAGTCACCGCGGGGTATGAGATGAGTCATGCAAAGTTCGAATGAATTGCCAGAGCTTCAGTCTGCTGTGGGAGAAATTGCTGAAAAATTGTTCAGGTGTTCAGAGTCTGTACCCTGAGGTGCTGAAATAGCCTAGATAGCTTTCCGTGTCGACTTACTCGGAGAAGTCTCGGATAGGTGGAAGCTTGGCTTGAGACGAACGCGAGCTTTCAACTGGAGAGAAGCATTGAACCCCTCGTGCGCTATCGGATGTTAGCGACGCTGCACCGGGTACCCGGCCGCCCTAACGCCGCTTATCTGTAAGAGCTCTGCCCATGACTCTCCAGACCTCCACTACCTGATGCTTTTACTTCACGAGTTGAATTTTCTGCAATAATACCAGACCTACAACAATTAATTATGAATCAGGTCGTTCAATAACAGAGCATTATCCTAATCACCCAAGTCCCCTCAAGTCTCAAGACCTCACATGGAAACTCAGAGTGATAGGCAGGGCGGCAGGGTATCTACACGCAGACCCCTGCCAAACCCCGCCGTGGACCCCAGCATTGACACTCGCCCCGGCGCCGCTGCGCTGGCTGCCACACATGCTGACCAGTGACACACGTTGCTGACAATCGACCGGCCGAGCTCTCCTCCAACCTGCCCCGGCACCCGCCAAACGGCCTCGGCTCAAAACCACATCTAACCACGGACAGGCTCCACCCTCCACAAACCTCACAACCTTCCAAACCTACGGATACCTCGCCCGCGATACCCCCTTAACGAACAAACGACCGACCTTGCGCCCTTCACGAACTACAGCTTTCTACACAATTGCCTGACTATCCAGAATTTGCGCAATCCATCAATTGAAACCGACAGCACCTCTCCTCCACCGCGCGCAAGCGCAGCGCAAATGCACAGCACTCGTCCAAAATGACCGAAGCCTCACCACCATCCTCCTCATCGACCCTCCCCTCCTCGCCCTACCCCTACGCCTCCGCCCCAGACATCATCCGCGCCCACCAAAAGGACGCCTACTACAAGGGCCACCTCTCAAACACCCTCACATCCCTCCACCGCCTCCTCCTCGGCGCCCGCTCCGCCCACTCCGCAACCTCCCTCCACCGTCTCCTCGCAGACACCCTCTACCTGGGCCTCACCACGCTACCCGGGAACCGGACCCTCGGCGAGGAGTACTGCGACCTCGTACAGCTCCACGTCGGCGCCGGCGACAACGATGACAGCGACCCGTCAGGCGCCCTCCCCACCCTCGCCCGCCGCGTATCCTACATCGCGACCTCCGTCCTCCTCCCCTACCTAGCAGGCCGCCTCCTCCCATCAGTCCGCGCCCGCCTACGAACCCTCCTCGAAACCTCCTCCTCCTCTTCCTCCTCCACGAAATCCTCCTCCACAACTACAACAACAACAACAACAAAGCTCTCCATCCTAAAAGCATACCTCCTCACAAACCTCCCCTCCCTAACCTCGGCGGCGCCCCTCCACGCAGCAACCCTCGCAGTCTTCTACTTTTCAGGAACATACTACGAGCTCGCCAAACGCGTCCTCGGCCTCCGCTACGTCTTCACCCGCCGCGTCCCCGACACCCCAGACCGCGCAGGCTACGAGGTCCTCGGCGTCCTCCTCATCGCCCAGCTCGCCGTCCAGTCCTACCTGCACATCCGCTCCACAATCTCCGACCTCTCCTCCCAGGCCGCCGCCGCCGCCGCGGCACGACAGCGGGCCGTCGGCTCCTCCTCTACCCCCTTGCTCGACGTCTCCCTCGACGCAAATGCCTACGCCGCCAACACGGGCCTCCTCCTCACCGAAACAGGCACCCCAGGCGGCAACGGCGTCGGCGCAAGCAAAGTCGACATCTCCGCCGTCACGCACACGCCCGTCGTAACGGACGCCTCCTCCTCCTCCTCCCCGGGCGAGCCCGGCGCGCGCTTCGACCTCAGCGACGAAAAGACAATGGCCTACATCTCGGGCGCCGCGCAGAGGAAATGCACGCTCTGCCTCGAAGAACTCAAAGACCCGTCCGCGACGCAGTGCGGGCACGTCTTCTGCTGGACCTGCATCGGGGACTGGGTGCGCGAGAAGCCAGAGTGTCCGCTGTGCAGGCGGGAGGCCATGGTGCAGCATATACTACCGTTACGGATTGCTTAGTCCCCAGTAGCTATCTATCCTTCCCCAGAAGGCCTGGCGTGGCTCAAAACAGCCAATCGGGCGTGGTCCCTTTTGCAAATATTAAGTTGCATTGTTATATACTAATCACTTTCAACTGGCATCGAGTGAATGAAGTGGGAATGTGGCTATTTGTACACCTTACTCGGGAGGGTAGGTATGGAGTTATACAGATTATGGACACACAGGCTTGGGGGGGTCTCTTATGAATGACGTAAGGGGCATTTTGCGTACCGAATTTGTACGAAGCCAAGAAGAGAAAGATATATATATACCATAGAACTGAGGCGACGCACTTCCCCATCATTAATCTCCTTCAACCCGAACTGTAGGTCCAGTTAAAAAAAAATGGCCAACGCGAACACGTAGGTGTCGGTCGGCTTTGATCCTACTTCAACAAAGACAGAGAGACCGATTCGCCTAGTCGGGGCCTCTTTTGTACCACATACGCCCAAATGGCTCGGTGAAAGCTCGAAGATTAGCTATGAGCACGTGGGCGTGTGTTGGGTTGAGAGGAGACGACGACATGGTATTCGTAAATGGGAATAGGTATGAGACGGCATGTCGGCCAAAACATGTAATATCCGACCTCTCACGGTCCAACCCCTGCCTTTCTCCCTTGACCCGCTTCCCTCCGGGTTTTTGATGGTTTCCGTCCATCTTGTAGGTATCATGTGCCAGAGTGCCTAGCATGGGAATATGATGGAAGGGAAGAAAAAAAAAAAACAGCAAAGTAACGCTCAAAAACTCCGTGTCCTCTCTATGAGTTTACCCTTGGATTTCCTGTCCGAGCCCTAAAGCGGCTAGCCTCTCGAGAAGAACAGCATGTTTGTGTACACAGCGGCAGGTAGGTTCAGGCCTGAAAGAGTACAATCTCGCCGCGCTCGTTGCGCCTCATGCGCAGCGAGCGCCACAGCTCCTTCTCTTCCGAGAGCTTGCCAAGGCTGTCCCCGGAGGAACTGCGCTCGCGGTGGAAGCGCTTGAGGGCCTTGTTCATGCTGCACCCCCGCTCACTCTCGGGGCCCTTGTTGATAAAGGACAGGAATAAATCAGCGCGGGGGCGGTAGACGACCATTTGACCCTCGTCATCACCATCCTCGCCCTTCTTGCTATCGCGGGAACCGGGGCGGTACTCGATTAATTTGGGAGCTTTCTCGCCCTCTGATCGGTGACGACTGGATGAGTGCTTCTTGGTGGACGAGGTGACCTTGCGCTTCTTGGTCTTGGACTTGGTGCCGGTCATGTTCAACAGACCCATGAGGTTGCTGCCAATACCACTCTCCTTCTTGTGCTTGTAGGACTTGGTCTTCTTGAGCGGGCTAGCCGCTGACGGGTCGGCGACGTCACCTCCGGAGTAGTCTGGCGACGGGGGAAAGACGGGGCGCATCATGCGGTTCAGACCACCCGTAAGGCCGGAGTGAGTCAAGGCAGTGGGAGGTGCGTCCACCATCATTTGGTCGGTGTCGACGTGGAGACGCTTGCGCTTCTTATCCTTCTTCTCACTTCCATCCTTCCTTCTTCGCTCATGCTTCGGGGCCGGAGTCTCGAAGCCTAGGGGAATGGATCCAGTGCCGTACTGCACGAGGGCGGTGGGGTCTTCATCGACCATTGCCCCTTCGTCGTCCAAGTAGGCCTCGGCATCGTACTCATAGCGCACCAGCTGTGTCTCCTCGGTCGGCTCCTTCGTTCCTAGCGCAGACGCATTTGGCGTTGCCGAGGCGTCGAGAAAGTCGAATACGTTGACGTGCCCCTCGTTCGCCGAGGGAGGTGTTGGTGCTTCAGGGAGAAGGTCGGCGGGCGAGTTGCCATTATCGCTGGCCTCGTAGGGGAAAGATTCGAACTCGGCGTCGGGAACGTCCTCGACGTATGCGTGTTGAGCCATGTCGTGTTCGGGGGCAAATGCCTGGTTGTTGTTCGTCTTGGTCTTCTTGTTGTTGTTCTTTTCCTTGTAAAGAGCACCTTGGTATTTCTGGGCCTCGCTCATACAACTCTTTTTGACAAGTCAGTACGATGGTTCCATTGAAGCGACTACAACAGTCAGCGGGAGCTGACGCTACATACCGTGTGGATGCGATATTCAGTGCCAGGGAAGTAGACCATGCAATCGATGCAGGTGAAGGTAGCACCTCGACAACGGTTCCTGTGGGGATCGAGCTTCTTCTTGGTCAAGACATCACCACAGTTCTGTGGCAGAGGAAGAAAACAGGTCAGTTATGTTGCGTAGGAAGTATACGAGAGGTTACTGGATTCTGTTGTGTTTGGAGAGGGGCGTATGGTATGGTCTGGGAGGCGAGGGAGGGACGGGACGAGACACTGGCTATTAAAGACGGCATCCAAGGGGAAGTGGAGGGGGGTTTGTTTCTGCCGTTGGAGGGGTGTGTGTCTGTGATGTCTTGCCATGTGTGGGAGGTGTGGTAGGTGTGGTGTGAGGATGTGATGTCAGGCCCCCGAGTTTATAATAAGACGACATGGGGATCTTCGGGGGGGGGGGATACCGACCGGGATGAGGTACGGAGAGGAAGTAAAGGGGGACCCTGGGAGACGGGAGGATGAGGAGGGAATGAGAAAGAGAAAGAGAAAGACGGAACGAGAGAGGAGGGCGGCGACGGCTTACCTCACACGAAAAGGACACCATGGTGAAGGGAGCAACGGTGTATGATGATGTGGTGGCCTTGCGATGGGACTCTATTGGGCGCGAGCGTTGGGCAGAGAACGGTTTTGACTGGGTCGCGGTATTTAACGGAGGTGAATGGGAGGGTTGATATGGGAGGCGACGAGCGCGAGCGTCAGTGTCCTCGGTTGGCGGTGGTGGTGGTGGTGGTGGTGTATGTCGGTATGCGGATTTGCAGAATGCAGAAGCAAGACGTTGTTTTACTGGCCGGACTGACGGGGTCGGGGGATCGTCGAGAAGTGGACTGCAATGCAAGCCGGGACGTGCCTTGTAACCAGGAGAGAGGGGACAGGGCAGAACAAGAGTCTTTGAAGGAGTTGGGGAATAAAGCAAGAGTCTGGAAGCTTTGGAAAGCGGAGTGTGAGACGTTGGCAGTCCGTCGCGGCTGTGCGAGAACTAGCGGGTTTGATAGACACAGCCCGGAGGTGGTGTGTGTATGTATGTGAGAGTGAGATGAGTTGATGAGGTGCCACGGTGCTTGTTCACGGTGCTTGTTTGGAGGCGTCGCGGGCGTATGTTGTGGAGTGAACTAGAGGACGGGAATGGGAGAAGAGAGAGACGGCGAGATGATGGGCTCCCAGTCTCTCGGCTTGTTCGGGGCACTGAAAAGGAGACCGAAAGGTTCAGCCTTCAGAGTTCAGCTTGAGATGTCAGGGGCTTCTCTCCGTGTTGGTTTCGCGTCTCAAATTCGCAGCTGTGCCGTCGATCTCCAATGTTGGAATCCCTTATTTGGAGGGGTCCAAGGGGGGCGTTCGTTCACAGGGGGGGGGGCAGGGGAATGGAGGGGTGAAGTGTGGTGTTTCGCGCTTCAGGTTGGTGTTGGAAAAGTAATAAAGAGAGACCGAGCCGCGAGAGAGAAGAGGGTGATGAGGGCGGCAGGAACGCAACACAATTTTGTCTGTTCCCCACGAGGAAGCAACTGATCCAAAAACGGTCTGTAGAATGGAGCGGCAACAGTCCAAGAGCGACTAGTGATTGAGAATTCCTGAACACTGAAGCTCTGCTGGATTAATCCAATCTGACAAGGTTTGAGCTGGAGCCGAGTTGTTCGGCGGGAGCGTCGTGTCGTGGTTTTTGGCGGGCAGGAGGATGTGGCCGAGCGTGTGGCGTGCCGAATCGAGGGGCGATGGCGCAGAGACTTGGTCCAAAGTTACCCAAAGGCTGGCGGCCGTGCTGTGAATTATTGGATTAATGCTGAGATTACTCTCGCCGGTTTTTTCGTCCGAACTGAAGAAGCTTTTGCGCGTGCCGAACAGCTGGATTTGTTCCACGGATGAAGTTGGGAGAGAAATTTTACAAGTCAAGGTAGAGAGAGAGGTGAGCGTGGTTGAGAGCTACAATGCAAATTCTATGCAAACAAAGTGGAATCGGCCGAAACAACTTTTCGCAGCGGAATTTTTTTTTTTCTTTCCTTCTTTTTTTTTTTTTTCTCCCTCCCTTCTCCCACCCTGCCCTTTCGTCCCTATCGGATTTGGGCCCCTCCTCTGCTTCTTTGCGCGTGGGGACCTGAAGACTGGAGTGCATCTCAGTCAGGTTGGGCAGCTTGACATGTTGCTTTTAAACACACGCCCATTTCTCCACCGTTGACAGGCGGTATCCCAGGGGAACCAAGGTCATCCAGCAACATTCAATGGTCTCGAGTGGCCCATTGAATCCCAAACCCAGCTGATGCGCCTCTGTCATTGGCTTGCGTCATGATAGCAGATCACCACCAGCGATCCAATCATGATCCGTGTGGCTAGGACGGTGGGGGTGGTTGCATCCGCCCGCCTCACTCCAGTCTCCCGCCTGAAGACGGCGGTGGGTGAATCTGGAGACGTTCACTACATTGTATAGACTGCAGTCCCTTGTCACCGTAGCTCTCTGATGGGTTGATGAATGATCCGTCCCAGTGTCAAGTCCCAGTTCCATGCTGCGATGTCACCAGAGAAACCCTTTCTGCAGCTGTATCTGTAGACTACCCCCGCCCATCGCCCGTTTCTTCATAAGGCGATGCTAGGTGGAAATCAGGAACGTGGATGATGCAGAGCTACCTACGGATACCTTACACTAGATATCCACTAGACCTGTGGGTTCATCGCATCGCCGCATATCTGCTAGCGACGGGACTCTAGCTGCAGAAGTGCTTCTGCTCTGAACCTACGCAGGAACCGACATAGGAGGCCGCGAATACCTCGCTCACATTATATAGTACGCCATGCATCGCTGGTCGGTCTTATACCGTAAAGTAGGGAGTGCGCAGCTTCGCATAGCTTCGCATAGATACGGGCATCGCCAATAAGGGAATTTGGGACCGACACGGTGGGCCTATTGATCTCGCGGTAGTCTCGGTCACCAGTCGCCAGAGATGGCCTGTCTTTCATTCTTCCCATTCCCGCCCTGCCGCGGTTTCACGGAAGGAGACGAGAAACCCTTGCTTGGCAGACGACGATTTGGGGGCCGAGGAGAAGATGGAGAAGACGGGTGCTCCGGCTTCTATTCTGGGCATACGGTGTATCCGTACGGATGCAGAGGAGAGGTTCTGTGGCCTGTCTTTTCTTCCATGACCAGGGGTGATCAAGCACGGAGCCCCTTTAACCTTGCGTTTTTCTGTTGTTCAGTGTTCTGACTCCTGCGGACAAGCAACATCATGCACGACCAGGCGAGGCCGGGGGGTCGGACGAGACCAAACGAGATGTGCCTGCCCCTATCCGTCTAGATGGCTTTGGATGCCGCCGCGAATCAAAGGAGATGACGACGACGGTCCCAGAGGTTTGGAACGGCTGCTGCCGCCGTGTTGGGCTTCGACCTGGCATTTCACAAAGGGCCGTCACATCGTCCTCTGGTACGTTGATCAACGGGCTGCATGGCGGGCCCCCCAATTGCAGTGCATCGCCAATTTGCGCAGGACGAACGAAGTAGGCTGTTCTTCGCCGCCCCCTCCAAAGCGCGCGTCTAAGTTGACAAGTGATCCAACAACGAGCATCGGTGACGGGTTGTTGGTCAACAGCGGCGGCGGCTGGGAGTGCTTGGAGCTTCTGCTGCTGCATGGAGAACAAATAGAATAGTAGTAGAACTGTTCCTGATCCTGTTCCTCGCGGAAGGCCCGTGGCTTGGCTGCTTGGTGTGCCTCCCTCGCCTTTGCCCAAGAAAGATGTCGCTTGATGGAAAATCCTTCGTTGCCGCTTTTGCTTGTGCTTTTGCTTTTTGCATTGCGATGGGTCGGTCTCCTGCACACGCCCTCGATTCGCCCTGGCCTCGGGCGTTTCTGGGCAGCAAATTGCCGCAAGGCATTGGATCATGGATTCTAATGTACTGCATCCGTAGAGGGGCCGACAAGTGGATGTTGAAATGACTTGCAGAGCTTTTGTAAAGCATGTTTGCTCTGCGCATGTTTGCTCTGCACGCAATGCGAGGCGGGAACGAATGGGAAAGCCCAAGTCAAACACCATTCGTCAACAGCCACCACCTGCCGTTCCACGCCAGCAGAAGGTATCCATCAACTGAGCAGCAAGAAGGCCGAAGCCCAATGGAGGGAAACTCAAAGCTCAAAGCTCAAAGCTCAAGTCGAACCTTGGACGGGGCCAAGACAAACGGCCAGTGAAGCCCGTGCCCACCTGTTCCTTGAGGTAGCCAAATGTAGCTCGTGGGAGTCTCACCCACCTTTCCAGATTTTGACACGGAATCTGAATGGCTTGGGGTCCCCAAAGCCTCTGGAACGAGCGACGTGGTCCCCCGCTGTTGTGGATGACGATGAGCAATGAGTTGCGGGCGATGAGGCGGTGGGCGAGTGTCCGGACTGTGGTTGCTGTCAGTTTGTCTCCAGTTCCACTTCAAGCCACGAATGCCGTGGGTGTCTTTCATCGGAAAGCTAATTACCAGCCTGCCGTTCTTGCTTTCCCCTTTCCCGCCTGGCTTCACCCAATCACCGGTTCCCGCTAGGTTATCCCATGGCTCACTTGGAGGTCTGAGATGAGTTACTTCATACGAAGTGCCCGGATATGTACCGTTAGTCTCTTCTCAAAGTACCATAGGAGGCCGACAGGTCGCGCTTGCAAACTATCCATACTTATGTAATGTAGTTTTTTTCATTATACGGCACCATCCAACTACCTGGCACCAGAGTGAAAGCAGTGACATTCGCATTGATCGTCCCACTGTGCTACCTACTGTGTAAATTCCAAGCTACCTAGCTGTACACCCCTACAAAGCCTGGAAAGGCGGTTCACCCAGCGTTCCCTTATCCAGGCACTCGGCAGTTAATAGACGATCATGCAAGGAGGTCGAGTGCTGTTTATTGCGCCATGCTAGTCGTGTTTTACAAACTAACGTAATGATACCACACTCGACTACCAGTGCTCGACCATCTCATAAGCTTTCATGAGGTCGAGTCCCCCCATCTTATGCTTCCGTCACAACCGTGGCACCTGGGTACGGTTATTAAAGCCATCATTTCTCGGGCGAAGTCTAAAGGAGAAACGGATGGCGGAGGTGACATCGGACTCGTCGCTTCGTTTCGTTTGCTAGCACCTTGATTCACCCACCGTCGTTACCGATCGCATCGCATCACATCGTACCTCTTGACTCCCTCCTCCTCCTCCTCCTCCTCCTCCTCACATCAATTCCCTCCGCCACTGAGCACCGTCCATCCAGCAAAGCCTTTGCAACCCTCGTTTACCGTGCACCTCCGAAAGCAGCCCTGCGGCCTACCACCAAATCAGGTCACCTGCCGCATCGACAAGCCTCAGGAGACCCGCCACAACGTCCTAGCCCCACCTCTTCTCCCCCAACATCATCCCAGGAATCCACGATTCAACATCCAGACTGGGCGCTCTCCATTTCCCTATCTGCGTTGGACCGTCCGCAGCCACATCTCTTCATCAGTGTAGACGTCCATCGGCCATCCATCCCGGCCGCACGGCTGCCAGATCCCGCCCCAGCACCGTTCCCTCCTGACCTGCATCATGCGGCCTTGCTAAAGACAAATCGCACCACCACAACCACCACCACTTTCTATCCCATGTCTTACGCCGTCAATACGATCCTTCAAAGAATAGCTGAATATCGACCCGCGCAAGTACCAACACTCTCCCGAGCTGATCGTCTCTCGATACCCGTAGCGGCACCTCGCAAACGACGTTAGTATTCACTGGGCGCATCTTACTACCTGGCGAATACACAAATCACCTAGACGAAATCATCCTCTTCGATCGCCGCTTTCGTTCCGGCTAGCAACCTCTTTCCTTGGCCAGGGTTCACCACCAAACACCTCCGCTCCGTGCACGACCCCTTGTTCGTTCGTTCGTCCGTCCTGCCCACCTCAGTTATCCAGAAAGAGAGCCCCAGGCGTCCCAGTACTCCGTACCAGGTCCAGGTCCGTAGTCGCCTCATACCGACACACTCAACTGCGCTTAACACGTCTTCGGTACCCGCCTCATCCCAAGCTGGCTGCCGAGGTACTCGCATTCCGCTAGCATCGACCTCCACCGCCTCCAAGACTAACGCAAGGCTCCGCTCTCTCCTGGACTCTGCACCGCTCTCTTCGCTTCGGGCCTTGCCTTCCCCATCAAACAGGCCCATTCCTTTCTGAGGGCTCGCCAAACAGTCCAGCAGCAGGACGAATATAATCTTTCCTCCGCCTTTTCTCTTTCGCCCACGACTCTCGAATCATGTCCTCCTCCAATCCAGCATCGCCGCCCTCCAACAGTTACCTCGAGCAGACGGCGTCTATGCTCAGTACTGTTGGCGCGTACATGCGGCTACCAGCCATAGCCTCGACGGTATGGCCATTCCCGCCTCCTCGTCCTACGGGCTACCCATCTTCTCACACCGATATTTTAACCTTCCTGTCTGCTACCCCTCCTCTTGGGCCTTCGCCCGAGGTCGTGCCTCGACTGCCTCGACTGCCTCGCTAGTGCTGCAGGCTAACTTATCTTCTCCTACCTAGGGTATCGCAGCAGTCTTAACTAGCCTCCTCTACTTCAAGCAAAAGTAGGTCCCTCCACCCGGCGTCCATGTGACGCACCCTCTTCCCACCTTCAGTAAGCTAATCAGCTGTGCTGCACCGCTCTAGAGCCTTGATCTACCCATCGCATATGCCTGCGAATTCTCGAACCAATGTCCCAAGACCCTCACAGTATGGCATCAAGGATTTTGAAGAACTGGTCATCCCAACAAACGATGGCGAGAAGCTGTCGGCATTCTACATCCGCGGCCCCCGGGGTGGAAAGAACTCCAATGTCACCATCCTGATGTTCCATGGCAACGCGGGCAACATTGGCCACCGCTTGCCAATTGCCCGCATGCTTATCAACTTTATCGGCTGCAACGTTTTTATGCTCGAGTACCGCGGCTACGGTCTATCAACAGGAGAGCCCGACGAATCCGGCCTCTTCTTAGACGCGCAAACCGCCCTTGACTACCTCCGATCCCGCGCAGAGACGAGCAATCATGAGCTGATTGTTTACGGACAAAGCTTGGGCGGGGCTGTCAGTATCAAACTGGTAGCCAAGAACCAAAAGGACGGGGACATTGCTGGTCTGATCTTGGAGAACACCTTCCTCTCCATGCGCAAGCTTATCCCTTCGGTATTGCCACCGGCCAAGTACTTGACGCTGTTGTGCCACCAGGTTTGGCCAAGCGAATCGATCATTTCCAGCATCACATCTGTGCCGATCCTATTCCTCTCTGGTCTACAGGACGAGATCGTACCGTAAGTCCCGTGCAACCCCTTCTTCCTCATCTCCTACACCATATGATGATCTGAAGTCACCACCCACAAAATATGAGTCCTTCGGGGCGCTTGATTTGAATTTACGACGAAGAGTCTGATATGGTTTTCTCTACACCGGTTTTTTTCGTCTGTCTCAGAAGTTGCCTCTTCGAGACTAACACTTGTCTTAGACCCCGTCACATGCGCCAACTTTACGAACTCTCTGCCGCTCCCACCAAAATATGGAAGCCTTTGCCCGCAGGCGACCATAACTCGAGTGTTTTGGAGGAGGGTTACTTCGAAGCCATCTCGGACTTTCTTGGCAATGTCACCGGCGTGACAACCAAGGAGGAGAAGCACCACCTGTAGAAAGAGCATCTGCTAACCGAGCAACGGTTCAAAGACCACGTGGCTCAAATACTGGAGGCAGAGGCAAGCCGGCAGTCTGTCTTCACCAGCGTATCTCGGCGGCTTCACTGCAGGAGTCCATCGCTGAACAACGACGACTGGATGTAATGCCCCTGTCGCGGCTTGCGAAGGCGCCGCCGCTTGGACACAAGGCGGCAAAAAGAAGCATAGAACGGAGAAACAGTACGTTGGCGGCGGGTGATCTTCCTCTCTAAACCACCTTTTTGGTCCTTCAAGAATGATACCCCCCGCTCCCATGACGGACCGGTATGCGACAGCATATCTTAGACGCAACATAAATATAATGAAGCAATGAGTACGAGCAGTCAAGCGACCAGTCCAGATGTGAGATTTAGAATGAGGCGACGAAGACATGTTGATGCGAACGAGATTTGGCCACGTTGCTGGCTCGAAAGGGGTCTTGAGGGCAAGGGATGCCGGGCCGCGTATATACGTTTTGACAGATGCGAGTTCACTCCCATAAGCCAAACTGTGAACCGTCTGGGGCCTTCAACTTCATCTCATACCGTTTCTCTCCCGTTTCGAAGACTATCAGACGCAAAACGCCATCGTAAAAGCCGACTTTGCTGGGGGGATGGGAGGGGGGGCTACAGTGATATGCGAGTGATGCTCGACACGCGATTATCACCATCGCCGAGAGCTGGGATCAACCTTGCCCCTGTCTTAACGGCCAGCGGGGATATATCCATGACCTTTGCCAGCACGAGCGAGTTCATCGCATTTGGACAGGACGGGGGAATCTTTGCTTTTTCCGGATCCGTTCGTCTCTCTGGCGTAGCACGGCCCTTGACTGTACCGGTCGGTGTTCTCTGACGTGGCAGAGGAAGGTAGGTCACTTTCCTGCTTTGTTGGATATGGTTATGCGAGACGTCGCGGGGTTCATGGGTGGAGGACAGGAAGGGGGAGGAGGGGCTTATCGCGGTGGATGAGTACAAAGCAGACGAGACGGGGGGATTGAGTTGTCGCAAGCGACTGGTCAATGAGGTGTTATTGGGAATCGTCGCAACACGGCTGGGGCCGGAATTGCGGTCTTCATCAAATTAGTGACATGTCTTCACGCGTGAATGCTCTTTTATCGTCTTATCAAATTCCATCTTTTCTTGTTATAATGCTGTCGAATCCAGTGGTGGAATGGTGCTTCGGGAAATACTCAGGCACCTGGTGTTCCATTTCATCCATCTATTCCTCCATGACAAATGGGTACCCTCTGTCATCGCCTCAGACACATCAGCACCACTGAAAGGTGGGTGTGGAGAAGCAAGGTGGGCGCCATGCAAACTCCGCCATGCCTGCACCGAAAAGTTGAGCCCGAGAAGAACAACTTCCTTGGCCGAAGCGAAACTGCGGCCAGCCTTACTCGTCGCTTTCAGCGGCAGCCTCCCAGTCGTCCGCGACAGAGTCCTCGACGACCTTCTTGCGCGCCAGCTTGGAGAAGCTGACAAAGCCGCTGGCGGGACGGGCGTCGCTGGCGGGCTTGGGCGCCAACATCCTGCGCTGCGCCGCGGCGCGGCCGACGACGGCGTTCCATCCACCGCTGCTACCGTTGGCCGATGTTCCCTCCCGGCGGAGGACGTTAAAGCTCGCATCAGCGTGGACCATGATCGCGGCCGCGGCGATACCGTCCTTGGTTACAGTCCGCACGACGAGGGGTTTCAGGGACGCGAGGGAGGATTCGATGGTCGAGGGGGTAGTGCCCCATGAGGTGACAGGGACTGCGCGGACGAGGATCTCCTCTGAGGGGAGGAAGGCGGTGGTGAAGGAAAGGGTGTTGTAGGCCTTGAGGTGGTTGGCGATGGCGGATTCAACCTCGTCAATGGTCAGGCCGAAGCGCGGAGCCGAGAGGAGTAGGGCGTTGAAGGGTTCCGGCGCCGACGCTGCGGCCGCTGCCGAGGAAGACGCTGATGCCGCGGCAGCTGCGGACTTGGCAGCGTCGTTGCGGATCTTGACGCACTGCGCCAGTGTCTTCTTCGGCGCGGCGACAAAGCGCGGCGTCTTGAAGATGGAGACGTGGCGGTGCGGCTCAGGGTCCTGGCTCTCCGAGTCAAAGCCGAAATCCTCAGCGAGGGCGTGCAAGAAGGCACGCTGGAAAGAGGGCATGGGCTTGAAGCGCAGGCGCTTCTCCGACGCCTCCGATGCGAAAACGCGGAACTCGCGCTCCTGGTTTTGGGCCCACGTGTGAGAGAGCTCACGGAAGAGCTTGAGTGTCGTGTCGGAGTAGGGGATGTGGTCGTCATTGTGGTCCGGGTCGACGTTGAGTGCGGCAGCGAGACGCTGGTTGCGCTGGAGACGGAGGCACTCGTCGTCGCATTTCAGGGTGTCGCGATCCGGAGTCGGGTTGGTCTTGGTAGCCATGCACTTCACCTCCTTCTTACGGTGTTGACAGTCACAAGTGATGAAGGTCTTGCTCTGGCACGGCCGATCTTCCTTGCATGGATAGGGGGCGTGGCACGAGGCCTGGCACGAGTGATCGCAGGATTTGCGCGTCTTCCCACAGGACTGGGCGCAATGGGAACCGGAGATGTCAGCATCCTCGCATTCGCCGGGACGATGACACTCCTTTCTGCATGTGTGGGTGCTATATTCTGGTCAGCACATGCGACAATTCCTGTGATGGACGATTGTATTACTTACCCGCACTTGAGCTTCTTGCCACAAGGCAGACCGCAGCGAACCCCTTCCAGCCAGCAAGGCCGGTTCTTCATCCGCTGCTTGCCGCAGATGCATGCTTTCTCTACCAAGAACGGACACTTGGGACAATCAACATCGTCGGGGTGGCAATTATGCTTCACCGTAGGATGACCGCAAGGTGGTGCTCTCCGGCAGTCGAAGCGGCATTCAGGGGGCCTGGTTCCGCATGGCTGCGGAGGTTGCAAGACAGTCCTGCCACAGGCACAGCTGATCTCCTCAAAGACGGCTTCGAGGCAGCTTGGGCAAGGTCCAGCGTGGCAAATTTGCGAACACTGGTGGGTTCCACACTTCAGTGTCCTCCCGCATACACGGAGGCAAATGTGTTCCGCCTCAACCTCATCTGGGGCCTGCTGCTGCCTGTGCTTCCTTCTGGCGGCCTGTCTCTCGATGGCCTTCTTCTCCCCTGGGCAACAGTGCTCGCCACACTTGTGGCGCCCACAGTTCAGCTGAGCCTGGCAGACCCTAAAACACATCGGCGTCGCGATCTCTCCCTGATGACACAGGGACCTGCTCACAGTACGCTGGCATCGACAAGAAATATCCTGCTTCTGGAAGCATGAGTTGCATGGACCGGTATGACATGTGTCGAGGCACCGGTGGCCGCAAACGAGGGTCTTGTCGCAGATCTTCTTGCAGTGAGGAATCTCGTCCACGCAAGACTGTCTCGGTTGGCCGAGCAGCTCTTCCAACGGTGTCTTGCCACAGGGGCAATGAAGGACAACATCTGGAGCCAAAGGGCAGTGTGCCGGCACCTCGTCCTGTGAATGGCAAGTCTTCTCACAATCATGGAGACCGCAGTCGTATTTCCTCCCACAGGTCGCTTCGCAGTCGAATGAGCCATCGAACCAGCTGTCTTGAGAAACATCCTCGGAATCCGAGCTGGAAACCTGGCCGTAATTGAAAGACATTTGAAGGTCGTCCCGGCGATCGCATGGAATCTCCTTGTGCTCTTTCCCGCAATAGCATCTTGCCTGCACGGGAATCTCACAGCTACCGCACAAGCCAGAATGACAAGGGGTAGCACAGAAGTGTTCGCCGCAAGGTAGCAAATCTCCGCAGATCTCCTTGCAACTCCATCCGTTTCCGTAGTCCGTCTCAGTGCACCGCTTCGTTACTTCGTGTTTGCCACAGAAGCAGGACTGTGTTGGCCCCATGAGGGTACAGGGCGGACACGGCCCAGCGTGGCATTCGAGAGAGCATGGATGTGGGCATGTTGCTCTGGGCTTGGAACAAGTCTGTCCGCAAGAGTGAGGAGGAAGACCAGGGACATTTCGGGGGTTGATGTCCTTCCCGCACCAGCAGTGGTAAGCACTCGGTTCCTCAGTCAAGCTGGAATTGCAGCCGGGACAACGCCAGGAGCGAGTGTCGTCGTCCTTCTTGAGCTGGCTCGTGAACCACTTCTTAACACAAGATAAATGCAGCACCGTCCAGCATAGCCCGCAGGACCACACTCGAGACGGCCGCAGGACTTCACTCGAGCAGATGACACACTCGTACTGGCCGTTGCTGATGTCCTCATGGATACGCGTGGGTAAGTCTGCAGCTGCAGACTTTGGTGCTAAAGGATACTGAGGCTTCTTTTGCTTCGGGGCAGGTTGTTTGCTGACAATATCAGTCAGCCTGTGTTTTAGCATGTGGCGAATATCAACATACCCTCTGTGGACAACGGGCTGCCCAGGAACGAAAGCCGGGGCATCTGCACTCAATCCCTGTGCATCTGGCACATTTGAATCCGCAGCGGTTGTCAGGCTGCCGCCGAAAGTTCGCTGAGTTCCCGATACTGTACCACCTCGGACCGCACCGCCTCGCCGACCGCCCCGACTACCGCCCCGACTACCGCCCCGACCGCGATCTCTCCTCCCCGAGCTAGAAGGTTCCGATTCAGGTGCATTATCTGCCGAGGCTTCAGTAGCCAGTGCTGGCTGAGCTTGGTTCCGCGGCTGAGGGTTGGCATTCCTGCCACCACCTCGCCGCCCACCACGGCCATTGCTTCCGTCTGCTCTTCCTCTTCCCGATCTGCCTCGGCGGCTTGGCTGAGGACCTCCTCCAGTCGACGAGACCGTTTGAGTTTGCGTCTGGATTTGGGTCTGTGTTGCGCCACCGTCCGACATGTCTAATACTCTGGCTGATGTGATGATGCGGTGATGAGTTGATGAAATCGTGATTGCGCTTTTTGAAATACAGCGTCTTCGTACAGTTGCTGCCAGTATAGGCGGCGGAAGTGAATCAAGTGGCCTCTCGCCCTCGAAAGAAAAGGCGAACGTGAAAAGAATGAGAGTCAACTGAGATCCAGTATTTCCCTTCTACTGAATACCCGGACCTGGGGAGGCGACTTTAAAAGAGATTCCGCAGCAGACGGGAGGGATGGTTCAAGTCAAGTCGCTGGGGCGGACTTAAGCGTTCGGACAGGTGGACCCGCTAAAATTTTGGGATCAGGTCCCTTCCGGGCTTAGAGAGGTGTGGCAACTGCCACTGCCAATGCCCGCTGTAAGGCTGACAAAAACAAGCAGGAAGGAGGTCACCGTCAGCAAAGGCCCGGGCCAGTCACTATGAGTCACCATCAATCGTTCCTGCGACTCGGGTCTGCCGCCAGCTAAGGTGCACTTTACTGGAAAAATTTCGGTTGACTCAATAGCAATATTGCACAGTCACGTTTCGTGCAGCATTAGGCCGCTTGGGGATGTAAAACAATGTTTTGTACCAATTGGAAGTGTATGGAGGATCATGTTTCGTTGCTGAACAAATGGCCTCAGTGGATACGGTGCGTGCTCCCACAAGATTACCGCCACATCTTTCACATTTCAAGTTGGGATTGGGACTGTCCGAACCACTCACAAGAAAAAGATGTCTGTCAAGTCGTGGGTGTTTGGAGACCTTGAGATCAACATGTCTTCATCGAGTCAACAAATAGCCACTTTTCTCATCACCTGCAGGTACTTTCTCGGCGACTGTAACACTTCGCTGACTATGGCGCAGGGCGTTGCGCAATATGGTCCTAATTTACACCGAAATTTTCAACCGCGTCGATGGTTTAGTGGTAAAATTCTCCGTTGCCATAAAGCAGCGTCGGGGAGCCGGGGGTTCGATTCCCCCTCGACGCAATCTTTTTGCCTTCTGCGGCATAAGTCCTCGGCAGGAGTCTCGTACTGTGAAGAACGACTGACGTACGATGCGATATCAGAACGTTTGATGGACTTTGTTTGCCGAGACCTTATTTCCCTCCTCCATTTAAAAGTTGAAGAAAATTGGGTGACAATTATGAAGTATATCTTTGATTGGGTGAACTCCAGCTAAGAGTTGCAACTGCTCGGTCAAATGACAAGCTGACGAAAGACAAAATCTAGCGAGTGATAACTTCTAGATATTCATACATCTTTAAAAGTGAGGGTTCTCCTGAGTTCCTCTTGCTGCTGCCAGAAATGCTCATTGAGCGTGTTGGATCAGGGACGAAACAGGTCTGTGGCTGGAGGTATAGAGAATTCAGACCACGCTCGTCTTCCGATTTGCACGACTGCTCTCATGGTTGTCTAGCACAGTCGAGGACTCAGAAACCCATCCAAGGCCAATTACGACACAGGACAGTGAGTCAACGTTCAACGGCTCTAATAACCCATCAAGAAGCTCAAAATGCATCACACTTCTGTCAGTTTCCGCTTGCCAGTGTACACGAAAGGCCAATCTGGACCGAGACTGGGCTTACGAATCTCTACATGGTCCTTTGACTTTCCACCAGCATCTCGTCAATGAGCCTACTGACCCCCAAGTCGTAGACGTTGCCGCGCCTGAAGCGGACGAGAAGTCCGATACCTCTGCCACATTCGCTTCTTGTTTGTCTTGGAGGATACCACTCTCATTCGTTCAAGATGCTGGCATCTCCAAATGGGAACGATCTAAATGGGCAAAGAATCAACGTCGCTATCGCCATGCATATGCATGTTTGCTCTGTTGGTCGGGTTCTTCAGACAAGAAGAAAAGGGGTTGTATTGTTGCCCAGGCCGCTGGCCTCGTCACAATAATCAAACCCAAGCCCGAGGCAAAAACATCTCCAGAATGCATCAGCCACAAGTATCCCATTATTCACTTCATGTGAGAAAGTAATGCATTGCGACAGCACACGAATGATGACCGCTCGGAGATTGAGGTTAGTCTACACACAATTCCGCCCTTAGCTTTGCGTCTAACAATCCCCTAGAGCATCGCCACATCGAGCACGAGCATCAGTAGTTCGATTCTAGACTATCGAATCGAAAACGGCAGGACTTACCACCGATACAAAGATGGCAGTGAGAGTTTCATTTCCACCCGTCCGCTTGACTTTAAGACAATTGAGGGACTGGTCTCTGACGCGTGCTCTGCATTTAGAATATGTTCTTCCAAATGATGAATCGGAAGGTGACAGGCTAAGTTTGAGCTCCCCCTTCCGAAATCTGTGCTGGAAAATTCGCTGAAATTTACTAGCTATGCAACACGAGATCTTCCTTTACAACATCGGTCACAGGCTGGGGCAGGCTTCGTCGTGTGACAAAGTTGAGAAGGTCGGGCGTGTCTTCGACGTAGGCACTGGCACCGACATCTGGGCCATTGACTTTGGTGAGCTTCATCCCGAAGCCGAGGTAAGATCACTTTCTTTTCTTCGCCTTGGCCGATTTCTCATCTGACGTTGAAATTAGGTTAACGGCCTTGATCTTTCATCCAGTCAGCCAGATTTGCAAGGGGTTTCGTCTCTCAAAAACGTAAGAAAGGGGCTGTATGGAGATACTTTTACTATGTTTGATCAAAAGCACGCCGCCAAATGTAATATTCAAGATCGACGATGTTGACGAAGACTGGACTCATTCGTAACCGTTTGTTAAATCCACAGCTGGTTCATGACGGGTGCTATCAAGGACTGGACGAAGTTCATTGAGTCTGCCTATGAGTAAGACGCATTTTCTTCTCGATACTTATGGATGGGAATAAACGCCCGATCTCTCTTAATAGAAAATTCACTCCTGGCGGATCGAAGTTCAAGATGCGGATATCAATCCTCAGTCAGACGACAATACTTTCCAAAAGAATAGTGCCCTGGCTCAGTACGTCAACCTGCTCCAAGAAGACGCAGAGAAGGCGGGCTGCGACTACTTCAACATCCCTGGACTCGCGGATCTCATGACGAAAATCGGTTTTACTGACATCTCGGTCCAGATATTCAAATGGCCCATCAACGGATGGCCGAAGGAGGACAGGTAAGCTCGAATACCACACACTCCTGCTTGCGTGTTAAAGTATGGACAGGTACAAAAAGCTCTGCCTTTGAACTCAGGAGAACTTTGGCAGCGCTCTCCAGGCCCTCTGCATGGTGCTCTTCATGCGCGTCCTTGAGTGGGCACGAGAAGAGATGGAGGTGTTTCTAAATAACGTGCGCAACGATGTGAGGAACCGGAACAATTACGCATACTTTCGCATGCAGCTGCGAGTTCAAAGAGTCCAGAGCCACGATTCATTCAAAGGCAGCAGCTCCTGTTCAAGAAGAGTTGTGGATTCGGTACGGGCTTCAGCATGGGGCGATATGGTGGCCATTGATAGCTCTGTTGAGTGCATTTACATATAGTCAAGCTGGAGAGTCAGGAGGGAAGAGACTACTTCGCCTTTCAGCAAGCCATATCGTTTTCATACCTGTTGCTGCAGCTGAAAGATTATTGTGCGACATCCTAGATGCTTGGGAGAGAGTCTAGGCTAATTGAGGGCGGCGACTAAATATTCAATTGACATGGGTCCCAGGGAGCGTCAGCTGCGTCCGTCTCTGCCCATATTGGTATCCGAGCCGTCGCGCTTTTTTGCGATTTCTTTTATCAATCCCATTCGCTCAAAAGACTCTCTATGCTCCACAATTCATCGCAGAAAAGCGTGGAAATGAGGCAACATCGCCGCGAACTCGCATATGCGGGTTGGTTCAGTCTTTGTTGGTTCCCAGGACGGACAGGGATGTCCAGAGTTGGCCGTTCTATGTCACGTCACAAAAAGACGTGCGCTTCCCCTTGGTTTTCGTTTCTCTCTCCCTTACACTTATTTCTGAGAACCTCATAGTCCAGCCGTTGTATTTGTGTTTCGTCACGAACTTGGCGGTCAATACTCATTTTCTCGAATTTGACATCGAGGAACGGGATAAGCCGCATCCCAAGACAGCTAGCCTACGACACCAACACAGCTCTGTCGAGACTTGTATCTCCATAATCACGTTCCATTCATGGCTGAAATTGACCGCGAAGTTGAGATTGTAGCTGAGGTACTCATCGACCGGACCTAGAACCATGTGGCAGAAGTCCTGACGTGTTGGCAGGAGACTGATAAGCTCAGTGATCTCACATCCAGACTCGAAGTGAGTTGATTTATGCCCCCTGTTTCTTCAATGAGATGACCATCCAAAATGCTGGATCAAGCAAGAGCTTCTTCATCCATTCGTATCAAATAGCTAATGTTGACAAACACGGTAGAGTGTGGCATTATCAACCCACAGCGTTAGTGCCTCTATCTTTCAAGATCGAGTCGAGAATGGCCGGACGTATCATCGATACAAGGACGGAAGTGAGTTTGGAAAATATTTCTCGATAGATCGAATGATCAAAACTTGAGAGGTCACAGCTCTAACTCACGCTTGTCCCCATAGAATACAACATGCCAAATGACGAGACGGAGAGCGACAGGCTAGGTGCGCGCTACACCGCCCAAGCTGAGGGAACTCGAACTGACAAGCTGACCACCCCCTTCAGACTTTCAGCACGACATTTGCATCTACACCTTTGACGACAAACTCGGCATTGCCCCGCCATGCGAAGAAGGCGTCAAGGTCGGGCGCGTTCTCGACGTGGGGACAGGGACTGGTAGCTGGGCAATGGATTTTGGCGACTTACACCCCGAGTCCGATGTAAGTCTCACGGCCTTGTCGTGTTCCATATACACAGCGAAGCAAAAGAATCTACTAATTGCCTTTGCAGGTTTTGGGTGTTGATCTCTCGCCTGTGAAAGCAGAATTGTACGTCTGGTTCTTTTGCCACAGACATCGAGTTGGGCATTCAAGAACCATACTGACCGAGTCGGCCCTTCATTTTAGCGTACCCCTAAACGTCCGATTCGAGGTCGACGACATCGAGGAAGAATGGACATATTCAAAGCCATTCGAATATATCCACAGCCGATTCTTGACGGCGAGTATCGAGGATTGGGAACAATACATCAGACGCTGTTACAAGTGAGAATATATGTCGTGTGCTTCCCACCTTCTGAAACCGGCAATCTAATAAAAACAGCAATCTTGTCCCTGGTGGATATCTGGAGCTCCAGGAAGCCGACCTAATGCCTAAATCCGATGACAACACCCTCCCCGAGGACGCCGCCATCATCAGATATGTAAATATGCTGAATGAAGCCTCTGAGAGGACGGGCCGCGAGTTCATTGAGCCCACCTCTCTAAAAGCCAAGATGATTGAGGCCGGCTTTGTCGACGTAGAGCTCCGCATGTATAAGTGGCCTCACAATGAATGGCCAAAGGAAGACAGGTGGTTCATTCACACATTCCCGAGTGGTTTCATACCAGAGACCAGACAAACAGGACCGTGTATGCTAAATGACAACAGGTATAGGAACCTCGGATACTGGACAAAGGAAAACTTTGGCACTGCCCTCGAAGCGCTGTGCATGGCGCCGTTCACCCGCGTCCTCGGCTGGACCCGGAACGAGGTCAACGTGTTGCTCATTGATGTCCGGAAGGACCTGAGGAACATGAAGTACCATGCTTACTGCCCTGTGTATGTACCATCCCGTGGAACGTCTGATGTTGCATCTTGCTAATGATGGCGAGTAGATATTGTATTGCCGGCCGCAAGCCGTAGAAGCGCCAATCACCATTGCCTTGGAGGCTGAGAAAACTTCCTTCGCATCAAGACATAGGCGGTAAGCTTTCTACCAAAGTCGAGACATGCCCCCGGTGTTTGTGTACCAGCAGGCGAATGCATTCGAGGTTCCAGGGAACTCGGATCAACCCCTTCCCTTGTCAGTTCAGCCGCTCGTCTCTAGGTTATTTCGGACAGACGCAACTTAGAGAGGACATTTAATATCGGGAGGTGCCACTTGAAAGTAGCCATTGCTTTCTCAGAGTGGTTGAGGCTCACATCTAGACCGTCAGGATGGGTAAACGAAAATGCAGAATACTTGACATACTTGATTGGCACACAACTACCTACCCGGTTTAGGGGGCTTGGACATTGCCCTGTCCTAATATCCCACCTACGCACTATGTTTAAAGTGTATCTTTATGCCCGTGTTGTGTACAAATTTTTGAGTGATCTTGAAGGTCAGAAATCGCCTTTGTATCATATTATTTTAAAATGTCTGTTCATAATCTCTTCTGTTCAAGGGTTAAGAGTGGCCATATGAGCTCAGAGTGGAGCTATTCTAAGCAGAAAACAGGAAAGAGGAAAGCACAATGGGTCAGGTCAATTTGATAGACACATAGTGGCCCTGTATTTGGAGACACTAGTAGGCACTTATGACCCTTAAGCGCATTGAGGGTACGCCCTGCTGGGGGCAATGTGGGAATAAAAAAACCCCAAACTCGGGGAGCTACCTGACCACTGAGCATTGCTGCCATATTCTAAACTGACCATGAAGTTGCCTCTTCGGTTTTTCTCCCCTCAATGGCGCGTGACAGCAGGCTTCGGCGACCCGTTCGGAGAACCTTGGAAGTTTTCAAGTCGACCGTGGGGAGACTTGCCAAAGGATTTTGATCTGGCGCAGAAAAAGTGCCAGCAGTTACGATGGACCAGGAATATTTCACGCGCCAAATGCGCGACAATGAGACCAACGAGGCCTAATGTGAGGCCAGGTTGGCGAAGCTTGCAGGAAGATTTCAGTGCCTGCATTCGGATAGGGGGGCTGAGGCGGCAGGATGTCGGAGGAGAAGCGCGCCAAGGGTAGAGGCGCCGCAGTGGAATGCCACCAACAGCACTGAGACGCCCTCATCCATCTTCCAACGGTGCCCACTGGGTACCTAAAGCAAGGTATCTGTAGGTAGGCAGCCATTTGATTCCCCACGAGCAGGTAACTTGGCAATACGGTCAAGTCTAGTAAGCTTAAATAGGGGGGCGTCATTTCAAGCATTCGGAAAAGAGGAGCAAAGAGGAGGGGAAGCTAGAAAAGATATTCGACGGGGAAAATGCCCAGTGTCCCCAAGGCAAGTTAGGGAACCGACACTGGGACCGGTCCCCCGGCTCACCCAACCCAGTCCCCGGGCTACGGATGCCTAGACCTCTGCTCATTCCCCCGTTACTTCTCCACTTTTCCGTGCGGTGCAAAGGGCCGGCGAAGTTCGCTGCGGCATTGCCACTTCCTGCTATTCTCCACCTAAAAAAGCAAGGAGCCCGCCAAACTTCTACCGCCGTTTCTAAACTTAGACCTCCTGGCGGTAGGCAGGATGCAGACACGGCCACTATACCAACAAACCCACCGACTATCTGGTAAACCATGGAGGATCGTTGGACATTGTAATTTCATACCATCGAAACTAGGTATCTGTACTTGGGCCATGATGTTTGCTGGGACATATAACCACGGTGGTACCGCCGTTGACGATGCAGGCGGGCTCTGCTGTGTTACTGCACCTCTCTTCCTTCTGATGCACTCTGGTCTTGTCTAGTATTATCCTCGCTCTTGGAAATCCGACTTGATGACCGTGTTTATCCCATCTTGACACCAGACTATTCACGACGACCATCATCAATCTCATACCGCTACCATGACTTCATTGCCCTGCACGCTCGCGACGTGCGACGTCTCCGATAGTCCTTACGGCTACCGCCCCGCGCTGTCAGCCAGCGCCGTCTTCGCTACCGTCTCGGCGCTCAGCCTAGTCATCAACGGCGCCGTAGCCGCGCGATCAACGCAACGACATGCCTTCACACCCTTCTCCGTCATCGTAACCCTCGCCTGCGTGCTGGAGTTGCTGGGTTGGGTCGACCGTGTGGCCGGCTGGAGCGATCCCTGGGCCGTGTACCCTTTTCTGCAGAGCAAGGCCCTGCTTACGATAGCCCCCATCTTCGTCACCTCAAGGTATGTTCGTCCCTCTTGGAGGAAATGCGATAGTTTCGAACAAAAGTCGGATGCTGATACCCTTAACAGTATCTATGTTTGCCTCGCACCGATGGTCCGGATACTAGGCACAGAACACTCCTTCATGAAGCCCGAGCTCTACTCCACCATCCTCCTCCCGCTAGACGGCCTCGCCCTTCTCCTCCAACTCGTCGGCCTCGGCGTGGGCTTCCAACACGTGCCATACACCCTCGCGTCTCACGATTCCTTCGCCCCGAACGACGTGGGCGCGAAAATCGTCCTGGCGGGCCTGGCCGTCCAGCTCGCAACCCTGGTCGCCGCGGGCTTGTCCCTCGCCCTCATTCTCCTCCGCGCAGCCCGCTCCTACCGGCAATACGGCTACACGACCTTCCACCGTGACGTCGGCTACGTGCCCTTGACCGGCCGCTTCCGCATCTTCGCCGGTGCGGTGCCCTCGGCCATGATCGTCTTGTTCGGCAGAATGTGTTTCAGGGTCGCCGAGTACGCTGAGGGCTTTCGGGGGCCCCTTGCGAGGGGCGGCGGAGAGGGACTGTTCCTCGGGCTCGAGGGATTCCTTGTCGGGTATGCGGTTTTGGCGATCGTCGGGTGTCACCCGGCGTTATTCTTGAAGGATGGGAAGATGGTCTCGAGGATCGAGTCGGAGCCGTTTGTCGGTATTGATATTGTTGGGAGTGCTGGTCATGTTGGTCATGAGAGAGATCTGGAGGCGCTTAGCAAAGTGTACCAGAGGCACTATGAGGAGGAGCAGAGGTTGTCGAGATTTGAGCGTGTTTAAAGATGATAGATACCCCTCCAAAAGTAGCGTGCATTGTTAGTCTTTGGTTCATCATTCGAGTGACCTATTTCGAATCTATTTCCGTGTCCTCCTACTGCATATTTCTGAGGCCCTTCCGCTCAAAGTAGAAATATTGCAGCGCGGGTGCCTCCATTGCGAAGCAACTACTTCACGTATCAATCGAAAGTCCTTCCAGCACGTCTAGTTGCCAGATAAGCAGCCGTAGGCCATTTTTCCTTTTTAGCGAAAGAAGCAACAGGATCTTTCTGCTCTCCTTGATTGAAGGATGTCTCAACATGTTGTTCGCATTGTTCAGCACACACCTAGTCAACTATTCCATCACCAAATATACACACGAGCGCAATCGGGTTGTCGGCACACAGAAAACATTGAGGTTAAGAGTTTCTTCGTTGTTAAAGCCGGTCGATCGGCATAATGAAAGCCTTGAAGTCTCGCTGCAAGGATGGAACTCAGACTAGTCCAATAACTTATGCAGGACATTAGCTACATAGCACACTCACCACCCTAAGGTAAGGTAGATCAATATTTTGCGGTACCAACTACTTATTACAGAGTTGCAAGTCGATTGAATGCTATATCTTAGTAGAAAAGGTTCTCAAAGTTACGAGAAAGAAGTTCTCACTAAAGTAACAATGGCAGGACAATCGCTTGTTGCCATCTCGAGTGACCCAGTACCTTCTCTCGGGTCATTTTTTCAACGTATGAGAAGGTCTCTTGACGAATTGCAATTATTATTGCTCTATTAGACGGGCTTCTGATCAGTCCATCTATGACTAGCTCACTTACGCCGTAAGCCATGGCGATGGGTCCTGATATCGGATCACAACCTCTCCGTAACAAGGGTCAGCTCTCCATGCAACACAGTATCCGACTTATTCTACCACCCCAGACTCCACCAAACCTCTCAACAAATATGCGCGCGGAAGGGGCTGGCCTGGCAAGATGGGTTTCCTCCGAGACCGTGCCAGATTCTAATGTCTCAAAGATGCAGTCCACAATTAGACAATAGCATGATTGGTCTTGAATCGCGGAAGCCAGGGTCGGCTACCGTTGAAGGTGACCGAGTTCCCACATTAGACTCCTCACCCACCAACGTAAGGCGACCCTGACCAACTGATATAAAAGCCATTTGAGGGAACCACAGGTTATTGTTCCAGTGCTGTCATCAAAAAAACCATAGCATCACCCAATCCAGTCTCGACTGAAGCAGTCTTTACAAACATCCATCCTCAACGATGCCCAGCAAACCCGTCATCGTAATCACGCCCGGGGCCTGGCACTCGCCCGAACACTTCCAAGACCTCCGCGACGAACTGCACCAAAGAGGCTGGGAAACTCGCGGGACGAGGCACCAATCCGTTGGCTCTGAACCACCAATTAAGGGCTTATACGACGACGCGGCCGCCACCCGGACCGTTCTGGAAGAGCTCGCCGACCAGGGTAGGCAGATTGTCTTGGTTGCTCACTCGTATGGTGGTTTAGTGGCCGCCGAAGGCGTCAATGGACTCGGGATCAAGCAGAGAGCCAAGCAGGGCAAGGACGGTGGCGTCATCATATTCGTGTACCTGGCTGCGTTTGTGGGGCTTCAAGGGCAAAGCATTATGAGCTTGACGGGCGATGTGTTCCCCCCCTGGACGAATGTTGAGGTGACAACTTTTTAGTCTTCGTCTCGGTAGTGTTGGAGCGCTGACAGTGTGCTTTCAGAACGGCCGGATTCACTTAACGGCCCCCGATGACTCCCTCTACGGAGACGTGTCAGTTGAGGCAAAGGACAAGGCAAAAGGTTTTTTGAAGCACTCGACGACGCAATCGGTTGAGGAGCCCATGACGTACGAGCCTTGGCACGACATTGCTTGCATGTACGTCGGCTGTGAGGATGATAAGGCGATTCCTTACTTTGCACAAGAGAAGATGCAGGAGCTCCTGGGGCCCGCGGCGACCAAGTTGAAGTTGAAGTCCTCGCATTCGCCGTACCTTTCTATAGTGTCTGAGACGGCTGATGTTGTTGAGCTTGCTGCAAAGCAGGGACTGGAGGCCGTGGCGGTTTAGGCGGTCTGTGGATGTTGGGCTGTTCTCGTTATGGACATGTATTTGTGAGTGCCGTTTCCTGCCACAAGTAACTGAAGGTGGTCTTTGAGAAGAGACAGCAAACCACATATGTTCGAGATTTCTTAGGAATGATAGCAACCGAGAGTTAGATAGGATAGTTACTCAAGTAAAGTAGCTCTTGCTGGAATTTTGGAAAATCCTTGGCATCGTGAAGTCAAAGTCTAGGTAGTAAGTGGGTGCACTGTTTTTGAAATTGTGGTAACAGCGATAGTTCTATACTCAACAAGATAGATCTAAAGTTGGAGGTCTAATTCTCTCTGCTACCTTAGGCAGTGGATTAAGACAGATTTAAAGGCGCCTCTCGCATGGGCTTCTCTATGCACGCGGGATCACTCATCTTTAAACCCAACAATGCCGTGGCCCTCTGTCGTCTCAACTTCTCTGTCACACGTGTGAATTCATGTGTTGCAGTATTCACCTGAAACCGGTTTTCACCGAGACGCAGACTTCTTCCCAGCTATAGGTACTTTAGTGCAACAAACATGCCTGTGTTCTGCTCCAAGTGCTCTTTTGGTGGGAGGGCGGACTCGAGGAAATGCAGGTGAGTCGTTGCCGAAGATGCCCGACATAGGGAATACTTTCATTGTCGAATGTAATATAGCCATAATCCCATCAAAATGAAGCATCCTCGTTCTATTGAATCCGTTCCTGTGATATGTAATTCAGCGGACGGTCTTCGTACTGCTGACTAGCCAGCTAAGGCCAGCTCAAGTTGAGTTGCTAGGGCATGCCATGCGAGTGTCGACATGTTCTGCGTTTTCCGCAAATTATATGGCTGGGTATGACACATCAGCCGTGATTGGTGGCGACTACATCTATCGCAGGACTATTGAGGGCAATATCATTTGTCCCACCAAATTCGACGTTAATAAGAGAAGAGGGTCCGGGACTACACATTGCTGATTACACGCACTGAACAGTAGGCAGCCATCCAAAGGAGAGCTGTGGTGCCTTGCGAGATGCTCATTCACAGGTAGTCGCATGAAGGAGAAGATTTCCCAAAAAGTGTTTAGATGAGGTAAGGTTGCCGGGATGCACCCCGCCGTGAAACCCCCACCAAAACCCTTTCCAAGGCACCAGTTTGTGTGCACCTTGACGTAGCCAGCCAAGCAGCAGGAACAGCCGGGATCCCGTGTAAACAAAAGCAGGAAACAATCAGCCAGGCCGAAGCGAGAGTGTAGAAGGTAATTACAAGCTACCTGACTTCACGCAAGTCTTGTCTTACGCCATAACACAGCAACACCTCTAAAACAACACTCGAAGAATATTCGGATACTTCATTCACTGAATCTTCATCCCGCCGCTATCCAAAACTTATCAATACCGCAGACACCAACATGGCGCCCCCGTCTCAGCTCACCGTCGCGACCCTGTCCGTCACTAGACTTCTGAAGGAGGAGATCTCATACGAGAAGGAGCTCATCCAGCAGAAGGGCAAGGTCACTACGCTGGAGACTGAGATCAAGGAAGGCAAGCCCGATGAGGACGGGAACCGCGAGTACATGCTCAAGCAACTGGTAGGTTTCATCGCCGACAACCCTGACTCACGTTCATCGAGGCATCTGTTGCTTTGTACACATCCCGCTGACTCTGGCCAGAAACTTGCGGTGGTGGAGACGCAGAAGGTGTTCCCCGAGCTGAGAACGCGCGTAGAGGACGCGACCACCAAGCTGGAAGAGCAGATCGCCTTGGCCGAGAGCGGCGGTGCGTCGCCCGAGGAGTTGGAGACGGCGAGACTAGCGCTCGCCAAGGGCAAGGAGGAGAAGACATATGTCACAGACAGCAACTCTGCTTAAGGGTGTGATTTTTTTTTTCCTTTCGCGTTTTGATATTAGACATCAGAAAGGCTCAGAATTGCGTTGTGTTCAACGGGTAGGCGAGCGTCATGAGCTAGATAGCTGGCTGCTTAAATGGGTATCTCAATTGAGGGACTCTTCTAGGAGCTTTCGAAGCATCTGATTTGCCTAGTTGTCCACTTCCATCCTCTCCGGCGCGTCCACTGTGATTTGAGGCGTATCGCCTCCCGAGGTGAGCTGTGTGTCATGGCGGTCAACCATCTCAACATCCTCTCCCTCTTCAATCTCGCCCTCGTCATCGTCTTGAGGGCGAGGGGTACCATTTTGACTCGGGACGGCGCTGCCAGACCGCGAAAAGCTACCCAGGCCACCCGGTCGAGGCTTAAGACCCTCCGACTGATCCTCCGACTGACCATCATGCGCCGACGTCGGTCTCGGTACGGCACCGCTGTCTGGATGCGGCGTGACGTTGCCGCTGGAGACATGCCGAGGCGTGTTCCCTCCTCTCGAAGCCTCGCCGTCCTCCTCGCCGTCCTCGTTCATGCCCTCCCGTCTCTCGACCTCCTCCTTTTCGTCGCGGATCTGTCTGCGCAGCTGCATGCCCTCATCCATAATCTTGCTGAACTGATCGCGTCGCTCCCGCCACGTACCCGCGTACGTCTCGCTCTCCTTCTCCAGGTCGCGAATCTCCTCCTCGAGCTTCTTCAGGTTTGACTCCTGCTCCCCGCGCGGCCGAAGGCCCTTAGCCATGAGCCCGTTGGCGAGCTTGTCGTACTCCTTACGCTGGGCAAGCGTCGCCCTGGCGCCCTCCAGCTGCTCGCGCAGCCGCGCATTGTTGTCTCGGACGCTTTGGCATTCCTCGAGGATGCGTTGCTGGTCGGCCTTGTAGCGTTCGCGCTCGCGGACATTTGCGTCGAGGAGGAATTGCAGACGGGCGATGCTGCTATCGAAGGCAGCAAAGTCGAGGGTGAGGTCGTCCTTAATTTGGCCAACCTCTCGCAGGGTTTGAGCGTTTGTCTCCTCCTTCGACTCGGCATCAGCATCCTTCTCGCCGTTCGCGCCTTCAGGTGGTGGCGTGGGTTGTTGTTTCGATTGGGCGTTCACAATCGCCGAGATGGACGTTAGCCTCTTGGTGATTCGCTTGAAGGGCTTCTCCTCAATGTTGACCAGTCGGGTCTTGTGCAAATCCTGCTCCTCCTTGTCGTCTAGGAGGTCCCAAGACGCCATTTTGCCGATTTTTCCGTATTGAGCTGAGGGAAAAAGAGACTAGGCGACCAGCTGACTCAATGGACCGGATGAGCTCGTTACTTGAGGCTGTATCGTGGGAGGACAATTTCTTGGTGAGCCTGTGAACTGGGTTGAAGATAATCAAGACGCTATTGCACTGGGATAAGTGGTACAATTGATGTTAACGACCCTTGTGCGCGACGCATGTCAATAGTAATGATGGTGAGAATAGCTTCAGACGGAGTGGACCAAACTTAAAGAGGGAGTTGCGGGTGGAAAGAAGCTCTCGCACCCTTCCTTGCCTCTCAGCCTTGCAGTAACATTCCATGCTCAATTAGGATTGGTCAGCTGGTTTTATGCGCTGTGAAGTGGGTCACCATTCTAAGATAAGGTAACGTCAGAGCGTCCAGGTCTCCTTCCCACTCAATGAACTCATCATCTTCCCATCAAAACACCACTAGTGTTCAGTCGCAACAGCATTTACTTGGTCGCAAAACTCAGAAGCCTCAAAACATAAAGACTACACAAACTTGCAACACTAAGACATGCCATCTCAAGAAGAACAAGAACTGTTGGCCAGGATTGGCCAACTTGCTGGTATGCAGTATTTCGTAACCGACCAGAGGCGAAAACAGCGCGCATCCTAACCTGGTGGCAAACAGGCAAGATCAATCTTCACAAGGCCCAGCAAGCTGGCGTTCAGTCGGTACCAAGCAATCAAGCATCCTATAGCCGCCGTATGTCGACTTATTCTGGCCGAGAACATATCCTGGCGCTTACACAACACAGACAACACCCACCGACATGGCAACTTCCCCTACAAGCATCGCGTCCAGCCGTACCCATCCATCCGAGGAGGCCCGGCAGGTTTTCGGCATCGATCCTTGGTGGTAAACAAGGACGGAACACAAACACCTCCCTCCGACTCGTCTATTGCCGAGGCTTCTGGCTCGACGACTTCCTCGAGCGCATGGGTTTCGAAGAATACCCGCAGTCAGAGGTCGCTGATCAACTCGGCCATCTACGACAAGACCAACGAAGCGCATGTTAAGGCAGTTGAGGCGTCCCGGCAACAGAAGATCCGTCAGCAGGATGCGCGCGAGCAATCGCAGCTTGCCAACCATTTCCAGCGCTACAGCGGCAAGGCAAGCGCGCCGCACACTCCTACTAACTCGACAGCGACAGGCAATCATGAGGTAGAGATCCAAGGAATCCGCTTCCGAGTCGCGCACAACGGCAGCAAGCTCATCAAGGTGTCGGGTGCGTTAACACTACCATCTTACACAGCAGTGCGAGCTCACAACCGTACAGGAGATCTACACCCAGTCAACGCTACCCCCAAAGTTGCTTTCGTTGGGGGTGTCAAATTTCACCGAAGCAAAACCGGCAATTTGTACCGCGCCGGTGTGCTCAAAGCTCAACGGTATGCATCATTTTTCCACGAGTGACGTTTGCTAACTTGGGTCGCATCCCTAGCCAAACTGGCATCAAAAAGGTCGACGTGCCTTGCAGCATGTTCTCGCTGACTGGTATTTTATCCACAATCTTATCCGATCGCCCACGCAGTATCCGATCTGACACATGTGGACGATTTCTTCCTCAAGTGGGTATGATATACCGGACTCCACTAACCACAATAATTTTATTCTAGGTTCATGTGCCAAGGGACCATCTTGTCGATATATGCACGATGCTTCGAAAGTTGCCATCTGCCGGGAGATGCTGCACAAGGGGACCTGTGCCAACGGGGAGTCTTGTGATCTTTCCCATGACTTGACACCCCAGCGCACACCGACCTGTGTTCACTTCATCAAGGGCAACTGTGCCAACTCCACCTGCCCCTATGCTCACTCTAGTGTATCCTCAGGTGCTCTGGTTTGCCGTTCCTTTGGGATGTACGGCTACTGCGACAAGGGAGATGAGTGCGAAGAGCGACACGTCTTCGAGTGCCCCGACTTCAGCAATACGGGCAAGTGTAAAACCAGGGGTTGCAAGCTCCTTCACCGCGAGAGGGCAAGCGTCCTTCGAAAGCGGGCGGACGGCGACGAGACGGAGGATTTGTCCAGCGATGACGAGCCAGCTGACAGCGACGACGTGGACTCGGATGAAGTGGAGGAGTTCATCACCGACGGTGCTGGTGATGATACTGACTTCAAGGTCCAGAAGGACTTTATTTCTTTCTGATTGTGATCTGATGCCACCTTGCCGAGGCCAAATGGTCTCTTTTCACTGCTGACATGCTTGCTATCCACTCCTTGAGGGAGTCCAGACAAAGGAATGCCTCGAGTCTCCTTATGACGGACGTATTTCAGGTTACGAAAACGAATAGGGAAGAGAACAACAGACGATACCCAGAAAGAAGCTGGACGGCTAGAGCTTTGATACCAAGCAGGAAGCAGATATGAATAGAAGATCATGATAATGATGAAGAAGAAGAAGAAGACGACGAAAAAGAAGTAGCAGAAAAGGATAGAAATAAAAGTCATGGAATACGCGAAGAAGAATCAAAAAAGTGCTATTCCGTTGAAACTGGAAAGAAAAAACATGCCAATCAGCCCTTCATCATGTGTTGTTGATATCTGATGTGAACATGGGTCTTGAGAAGCCTAATCAGAGGGTTAAATCCACAAAATTAAGGTATGTAGGTAGGTGCATGGTGGCAGAGTGACTTTAGCCAAGCATCATTTCCGCGTGCGGGCCGGCCCAACTATTCGCGGGTGTCTCAACTAAAGCAATTCAAATTGCCATTAAAATTTACCCCGCCATTCCTCTCCCCTGTGGACTCCTGAAATCAGCCGCCATTCGATGACAATTCCTTGCGCTGACACACACGGGCTTCAAAGCTCCCACTGCGCCGAGGACCCCTCTTGACCCTTCTTCGCCCCCATGCAGTCGGAGCAGTCGGCGCCACTTGTTGCCTTTTGGTGGTGAGTGAGAACAGCCCTTTGTCCCTCGGCCCAGGAGCTTCTGAGGCGCTAATGGAGACCCGTCCTTTGGTGGCCATATCGTGGTCGGATCGGGGGGGCTGTTCATCTGCGGCTGCCTTGTTGGAGGATTTGCGTCTTTGAAGGTGCACCGCCGTCTGCTAAGCCCCCCGGCCCTGTCTGCACACTCTCATCATCCTTTCCGAAGTTGAGAATAGCACCAAACATCATGACCCTGCCTGCGCAAACATAGGTCGTTGTGTTTTACTCATGGATAATTGAACAATTCTCTTTCTCAACAGATCCCTTCTTTCTTTCTGTTCTTGTTTTTTTCTTAATCCCGGCCCTCCTGACTCCTCTAGACCTACCTACCTAATCCAAAGTTCCAACCTAGCTGGCTCAGCACTAATCCTGAAGACGTCATAATGGGCCTACGCGACGTCCTCAAGAAAAAGGAGAGACTCGACAACGGCGAGCACAGCAGCAAAGATGCAGTAGACAAGCTGGCGGCACCCGAATTCAAGTTCATACGATCAGATACGCATACCCAGGAGGTCATCCATCCCCCAAGCGGCCCCCCCGGGTTTGAGGACGGCAATGAGCAGTTCCTGAACCCGAACGAGGGCGGCGGCAGCAGCCAGAAGCCCCGGCGCAGCCTCGACGTCTTCTTCGGCAACAGCCGATTGCGCAGCGCGTCCGCCTCCTCGCAAGCGAGCCCGAATTCCAACAATAATGGCAAGATTGGGAGACGACTGTCGGAGCGGCTGCACCTCGGCCGCTCGCCGGCCTCGTCCGACAACGTGCCGCAGAACCTACCCGACATCGTGACCACGGCCGAGGGTGGCGAGCAGGACGAGCTGCAGTGGGAGAAGCGCGCGACCATGCTGGCTTCGGCGAACAAGAGCAGGCCCGCGACGCCGTTGCGCGACGATGCGGCGGGCGGGGATACGGGGAGGGATAGGGCACAGGGCGCGGCGGCGGTTTCGTCTCCAGCCATTGACGAGGATATCCAGGAGGCCATCCGGCTGCACGAGGCGGGTGATTTCGAGAAGTCGACGGCCATGTTTGCTCGCCTGGCCGATCCGAAAGGGGCGAATAATACCTTGAGCCAGTTCCTATACGGTCTTTCTCTGAGGTGAGTGCTGCCTTTGCTGGCCACAGACTGGCCTCGACTCTTGCTCGGCAGCGTTGATCTCGACCAACCCCGTGCCCATAAGACGGGATCATGCGCGCGGGCGCACCACGGCTCGCTGGGCGATCAACGTTGCATCCGGGGGACTTTGGACTAGGACCTGACAGGTGCCACGATGCTTTGTTGCCCGTTTGGGTCAGCGACCTGCGGAACGGAATTGCTGACAAAGGGGTGCTTGTTGTTGATAGGCACGGATGGGGTTGCGAACCCGACCCAGAAGGGGCCATCAAGTATCTCTCGGCGGCGGCATCGAACGCGGCAACCGTCGAGCAGATGGCGTTGAAGGCCGGGCTCAAGAAGGGTGGTGCTGCCAAGGGCGAGCTCGTTCTCGCCATCTTTGAACTGGCAAACTCCTTTAGACACGGTTGGGGCACGGCAAAGGACCCAATAGCGGCCAAGCAGGTGAGTCATTCCGTCCAGTGACCGGAGTGAGGCGAGGAATGCCTACGAAGGCATGGCCGCGCATTGAAGGCCTAGAACTAACATCTCGTCATAGTACTATGAGACTGCGGCGAACCTTGGAGATACTGGTGAGTATGCCCTGATGATACGTCTCAAAGCGTTGAGGCCCAACTGATGTGTGCCGGTACGCTAACCCGCCTCGTTCGTCTCAGATGCTATGAATGAGATAGCCTGGTGCTATGTAGAAGGCTTCGGATGCAAGAAGGACAAGGTACGTTTGGTCACATATCACCCATCACTTCTAGCGGCATCACGTCTACCGGGTCTTGCGACATGAGGGCCAGAACTCGGTCTTTGGGGGAAACCGGCATTAGCCTCAGCAGCCCCAGATGTTGTGTGGCTTGTACCCAGCGAGAGCTCAAATGTTTTGGGATGTGAGAGAGCGCGCAGATACAGCTTAACGTCCGGCTCGGGCCGTCAGCAATATGGCTTCGTCCAGGTTGGGCATCAACACGGCAACCCTGAAAGGCGGCCGCAAGACATGAAACCGCGCAGGACGCATGCTCAATGTCATCACATGAAGCTGACAACATGTCCAGTTCGCAGCAGCCCGTTACTACCGGTTGGCTGAAAAGAACGGCAACAAAACACTAGGCAATTCATGGTAAGTCGAGCCTGTCTGTTTTGACTCTTCTTCTCGTCATCCACTATTCTATTGGTTTTCCCCAGAGTCGGACCCGGCGCATGCATCGTTGGAGGGAGGGGAGAGCTGCAGCGCCCTGTCGCGGATGACTTGCGCGCTGCGGCATTGATAGGCTCCCAAGGCTTTTTACCTGTCCCCCGCCCCCCAAATGAGGCAGTTCGCCCTGTCATTCAATCCTCTTGGATGACAGTCAGCTTTCCGGAGCTGCACGCGGTTACGTGCCGCTGCATGCCTCCTGCGCCACGACGCGTTCCCCAGGACGCCCGCGAGACTCGACGCTGCTTCCCGGGGCGCACCCCTTTTATCGCGATTTCCCTTCTGCCTGTCTTACCCCCTATCTTGCATTCCTGACGCCATTGCCGACACAACCTGGCACAACCCATAGCATCAATCCCTCCGTGATACCCAAGGCTGACGAACGGCAACCCAATAGGATCTGGAAGGAAAAGTACGACCCAGATGCCGGTAACAAGAAGAAGTAGAAATAGGGGGGGGAAGTCACAGGGGGGGAACTAAGTATATGCATGAGATGACCGAACCACTGGTGACACGGGCATCACATACTCGAAACGGGCGGTACGGTTCGGCAGTCCCGCTCAGCTCTATCCGGCGATTCCCTTTCTCTCCTGCCGGCGATGCCACCCCACGCGCGAGATCGTCACACGGCTCGGTCATCCCTTGGGCATCCTGATTGTGTGTCCAAAGCACAGCAATGAAGGAGAGAGGGGGGAAAACACACAAAAATATGAGTCGTTTGTCAGCCCCTCTCCG